AACGAAGTGAAAATGGAGGTAATAACCTCTTCCCTCCATTCTTTACGCCGTAGGTAGGACAAGCCAAGGCCGGTGCACAAGAAGCACAGGGTCAGATTGATAAGTCCATACAAGAATTGGATGACATCAAGGAGGAATTAGAGAATCTAAGGGACATTGATGTCGAAGATTTAGATAAACTCGGTTAGTACTTACCTCTTAATTAACAACAGCAACTTTTGTTTTTACATTTTTTTCTTTTTTTTGATTCCTCCCCTTTTTATTTTTCCGTCGTGTAGAAAGTCGCCTCGATCAAGTGGAGTTCGAATTGAATCGTGTCAACTTGACCGGTCGAATTGATAAGTTCCGTGATTTGCGCAACGCACAAAAGAAATGGATCGACAAGTACGAGAAGGATTTGTACGATTTGGAGGAGCAAGTAGCAAATATTCGTGCGATAGCCCAAGCACTACCCAATGGCTGTTATCCGCGTAGTCGATTGGAGCCATAAATGGGCCAAGTATCGGTTAACACTGCCCAACAAACCATAGAACTAAACTCTAAATATGCGAAAAGAGAAATGAAAAAATCCAAATACCCTATACTAGTGTCTAATATGAAAATATTTTAGTGAAGACGTAGTTAAGTTAAGTTTTAAAATAAATATTCTTAAATCCTACTTTTTTTGTACGCACACATATGAGCCGCTTATTTGTAAAGTGGCATAAGTCATTTCCTGCCGTTTAAATACAGTGATTATTTACTTGTATCTAGACGCTTCTGTTATTCGTTAAACTTCGTCAGCCGAAAGTAAAAAGTTTTTTTATTTAGCTTATGACAGCAGAACGATTTGCAGATGCATTCAGTTTAATAGTAACTAAGCGTTTAGGCTCAAGAGGTGGAAATGACTTATGCCACTTTCATAATACACGGATCTTATTATCTTTCAGCTGCTATTTCCGAAGTGAACCAAAATTATCTAGCAGAAGGCTGCATAAATGGTTTTGGAAGGGCAATCAAAATATTTACTAATTTCGCAATAGTTCACTTCCACAGAGTTTTCAAATACTGTCAAATGCGTTCTGCAAATAGTGAATCAAAATTGTGCTTGAATAAAACATTGCTGCAATAAAACATCACTACTACTACATTTACTGTCGAGTGTAACTACTGCACGACAATGCAGCGACTGCAGTAAAATTCTATGTGGTATGTATGTATAATTAAACTGTGTCTGCGTTACCTAACCTTAGCAACAACTTACCCCAATTTTTCTTAACTTAGAATTCTTTAATGGAGAAAAGCTTATTTATAAGATAAAATAAGTATAAATGCGTTCATGGGCGTAGCCAGAACGAAATTTATTATAGCTTATAATTATTGTAACCAATAGAGGTAAATATGTTGTAAGTAACTGTTGTAACTATATAAAACTATTCGTCGATTTAAATTGTTAACTTTTTACTGAGCATGTTTATTTTACGAGGAGGAAGCATCGAAAGCCTAACCCCGTCAGTGTGAGACTTTAACCCAAACTAAACTTCCTACCGTCATGTACCGTTCCCCTCCCGGTACCACCGTCAAGGATTTCGTGGGGATTATAACACTGTGTGACTGATAAGGTTATAGATCTATTATCTTCTTCTTCTTCTTATTTGGCGCTGTAACCGCCACAGCGACTTTGGCCAACTGACGCCAATTGGAAATGCCAAGTGAAGCCAGAATACTTTCAGAGCGGGGTCCATTCGAACGACATGTTCAAGCCAGTTGAGCCGCTGTATTTTAATTCGCCATATACCAGCACGGGCATGATGAGTGACTTATAGTGTGGTTTTCGTACGTCGTGAGAGGACTTTACTCCTGAATTGCCTATTCAGTCCAAAGCAGTACTTGTTGGCAAGAGCGATTCTGCATTGGGTTTCCATGCTGACATTATTATCGGTGTTAATGGTGGTTCCCAAGTAAACGAAATTCTCTACTTTCTCGAAATTATAACTGTCAAAAGTGACGTGGGTGCCGAGGCGCGAATGTGCTGATTTTTTGTTTGATGACAGGGATACTTCGTCTTGACCTCGTTTACCACCAGACCCATTCGCTTTGCTTCCTTGTCCAACTTGGAAAAGCCAGGACAGACTTCGCGGTTTTTCTTACCGATGATGTCAGTGTCATCGGCATAAGCCAGCAATTGTACGCTCTTGTAGTAAATTGTTCCTGAGCGGTTCAGTTCTGCAGATCTTATTATTTTCTCCAACATCAGATTAAAGAAGTCACATGAAAGAGAGTCGTCCCGTCTGGTGGCGAACGGCAACAGAGCAGAGCTGGTGGTATTGCTCAACGTCATTTTTCACAGCCGTATGAGTTTTGAGGGGATATAGGAAACTCCTTTTAGTGCTGTCGAAAGCGACTTTAAAGTCGACATATAGGTGGTGAGTGCCGATCCTTTTCTTGCGGGTCTTTTCCAAGATTTGGCGTATTGTGAATACCTGGTCTATGGTAGACAATACATTCGATAAGACATTGCAACCTATGCTGAGAAGGCTGATCCCGCGGTAGTTGGCACGCATGGCGGGGTCGCCTTTCTTGTGGGTTGGGCAGAGCGCATTTGAATTCCAGTCGTCGGGCATGCAACTTATTACCTCCTTTCCATCGTAATTAAATAGCTCAGCTGACAGGCCGTCAGCTCAAGCAGCTTTGGCACTTTTCGTCTTAGTCAGGCGCTGGGATATCGACTCCCCCGTCATCGACTGGGACCTCGGGTTCGCCTTCTCCACTTCTTTCAGTGCTTCTGCCATTCAAAAGGGTCGAAAAGTGTTCACTCCATAATCTGAGTACGTTCTGGACATCGGTCACTAAGTCGCCATGGTTGTTCCTACAAGAGTCTTGAAATCTTCCATAAGTCGCTCAACTCTATTAAAAACTTCAGGGGTTTTTTCTGTCGGCCAGCATTTCAAGCATTTTCTCACACTCCTCATCGTACCTGTAATGAGCGGGAAATGTGGTTCAACTGATCGCGCAAGTCGGTTTGTTGAAGAGTGCTCTCTCACAGCAGTTGTGAGGGTCGAGCGCCGAATTCATTGGCCGTCTGTTTTGATTGCAGCTTTTCGACGTTGAACTTTCCTTGCATTGTTGGGGAATCTTTTTTTGCTGCTCCGAGATTGGGTCGTATATTGGATGCATCAATATAGTAGTGCGAGTCGATGTTTCATCTGTTACATCTAAAACATGGAAGAATGCCTTCCGTCTATCACAACATGCTCGATTTGGTTTCCGGTTTTTCAATGTGGAGACATCCAAGTAGCTTGATGGATCTTTTTATGCTAGAACCCAGTAATACATACTGCCAAGTTTCGGGCCCCAGCGAAGTCGATCACCCTCAGCTAATATGTACGCTCTAAGATAAGAGAGCCTTGGATGCCTGGTCCTTCTCTTCCATCGGGGCATTGGCACATATGAATGAGATGTTGAAGAATCTTGCTTTGATGCGGATTGTGGCTATACTTTCGTCCACTAGAGTGAAAGCCGGTCTCTCTCCCACCACAAATCCAACACCGAATTGCACTCCTTTAAGTGGCAATTGTAGTAGACGTCGCAAGGCTCCACGATTACCTTCCTCGCCCCATCCATCGCATTTCGTGGATGGCGGTGATTTCAGCCTTTATTTTTCCCTACGACATCAACCAGCCGGGCAGAGGCACCATCCCGATTAAGGGTTCGGATATTCCAAGTGCATACCCTAAAATCATAGTCCTTGCTATGTTTGCCGTGATCGTCATCAAAAGAAGGGGATATCATCCGAGGCATGTGTTTTTTTTTCATTGGGCAAGATTTTAACGTGGCGGGACCCAAACGCAGCGCACACGGGCCACATACCTGTATGGTAAACCAAATAGCCGGATCAGACGTTATTCAAAATAAAAAATTTATACAATAAACTTTTTTCCGCATACTCTGTAATATTCTTCCGCAATTTTGTAAGGTAGTTTACAATTATAATCATTGCTTTGCAGCGAAATATCTTATCTTAAACTATACACATAGGTATGTATATATATGAGGACGTACTTAACATTTTGAGTATGCAGATTTTTTATGCTGGTATATTCATTTATGCTAAATATATTACTTGAATTTGTCGTGCCACACTTAAGAAGTAAATGTCTTGGCTGTTCACCCAACCGGTCTATATTTTTATCCATAATCTCAGACTGTACGCTTAGAAAAGACACAAACATAAAGACAAAGTAATAAACAATTGAACTATAAATTTGTTTATAGTTTCCGTTCAATCCATTTTTGCTCATTGTCGACTGCAGCCCCTTTTTAAATGGAAGTGCTTTGAACATAGAGAAAATAACTTGATACAGAACCGGATGATCCACATATCCACTTCTTAAATCAATTTACTAATTATTTTGTTAGCGTTGGGAGTATAATTTGTTATACAGTATATATAAAGAAAAAACCTTTAAAGTTAGGGGGGCCGAAATTTTCAAGCAAGCATTTCGTGGTAATATATTTCAATATCTAGGCAAAAATCTGGAAGTTAGGGGGGCCCGGGCCTCCCCCTGCCCCTATCTGGCTACGCCCATGAATACGTTTGTTTTTTATTAAAGTAATATTTGATACTTATATCACGGCGCACTAACACATAATGACTTACATTGAGCATGTAAACCGATGCACTCGCTATGCTGCTCCGCTATTTTGCTGTCTTTGGCAATGTTGCCAACTTTTGAGTTTCAAAAAGCACCAAACCTTGGAAAAAGCGGCTTACCACACTAAAAGCACTAATTTTTTTTAAATCAAAGGACACTTTTTCAAAGCAATTTGTGTTTAACAAAAGTAAAAAAAATAAACAATATTTACAAGTATAAATCAATACACTTATAACGATTGAATAGCCTCTACACATGATATTATGATTCATGCTTATGAAGTACCTAATACCGACGTACTGCGCATTAAACTGGACTGCATCACCAAAAAAGTTGCGGTTTTTCCGCCGGAATTACAAAATTTATTATATTTGAAGACCCGACCGATTGGAAAATACCCCCAAAAATGGAGTTTTTTATGAATAAAAATAGTTCCATAAAGAAGGTTTTAAAAAAATGTCCTCAGATGACAAACCAGTTTAAGCATAAAAAATCTGCATAAAAATATTTACAACAAGTAAGAAAGTCTAAGTTCGGGCGGAGCCGAACATTAAATACCCGGCGCAAATATTAAATATGTTTTTTCACCTTTCCGAAACCTTCCGCTAGATGGTAAGCCGGGGTGTATCAATTTTGAGTAAATTAGCGTCCTTCAATTTCGAAATATTGAAGTTTCAAGCATTTCTGAAATTTACCGTTATATGAGAAGCAGCCGTTATTTTAGTCCGATTTCAATAATTTTCAACGTTTTGCTTATATGTGGCAAGCACAATAACCACACCGAGTTTGGTACAAATTGGTAGAACGGTTACCGATATACATATATGTGATCATAAGTGGGCGGTGCCATGCCCATTTTCCAAAATTTTACCATAAACGTATTTCTTGGTAAAGAATTGTTGCAAGTATCAATTTTGAATAAATTAGCTTCAATATTTACTGATTTATCGAAGATTTTGTATTTCTCTAAATTACCGTTATATGGGATGTGGGCGTGGTTATTGTCCGATTTTAAAAAGTTTCG